TGTTGTGAGAGCTCAATAGGTACACTTGGAGCTGGAGCTGCCAGACCTCTAAAGACAATGGGCTCTACTTATTTCCATGTTTCTGATGAAGAGGGTAACTGGAGTTGTTTGCATTGCTGAGGTTACTTGAGATGGCAGGAGAGGCAGATAAAGGTGATGTGTCTGTCAGTGGCAAAAATATGACTTGCAACTTTAAGCGTGCATTGCAACCAATTTCATGGCTGCCGGCTGCAGCAGTCTTGCTATATATCGGACCATACGGATTCATTTCATCTGTATTGTCCTACTAGGGGAAATTCGGAATGCAGTATAGATAAGAACAAACAGAAAAAAACAATCTTTTAAATGATGTACATTTGTACGGTTGGATGAAAGTGCTTTGGTCTGAAGTGTGAGCATATTACTGCAAGGTAACATTCACCTTTTGTGCAAATTAAGCATCGCAAAAGGAACATATATGATTTTAAATGTATCGCATTTTCCACTGAGAACGTGATACCTCTGACCTGATGTCACACAAACACATTGACTAATTGTCCGGGTTGAGAATTACCCTTTCATGCAGCCCTCAGGAATTTAACCGTTCACTTCTTGTGTCTCCCTCAAGCTTCACTCTCAGAACGAGTCAGTGAGCTGTTTTCTACCTGCAGTAACAGTGGGGTCTGTCAGGTACTCAGGAGGTCACGGAGGACGTGGAGCTGGATGTATGAGACAGCTTCATGGGCGTGAAGGACCATCTGGAGGATGGAACAGGCCACATGCATAGCCTGGAGCTGGATCTGGACTACCTCCACGTGGAAGGTGCTGAACGGCAGGTCGGCCTGAGCACTGTGACGGTCGCTGGTAATTTAGGGGTCTTACAGGTCACAGAAGGTGCCCAGAGTAACAGCAGTAACAGTAGCACAAGCTTTAGTACTAATTCATGCTACAGCAGCAGCAGTAGTTGCAGTAACTTCTCTGACAGTGACGATGAGCGGCTCCAGAATGGGTCCAATTCAGAAACTCCAAACCCTCAGCAAGAACAGCAGGATGTACACCTCCAAGAGTCCTCTTCAGTCTTTCAGACAGTCAGGCTGGACCTGTCTCCAAACCGAACCCCTGCAGACCCCCCACAGCCAGAAACATCATCTCCCACTGACCCCGCCACAGAATACCGCGCCAAAGTGGAGTTTGCTCTCAAGCTAGGCTACTCTGAGGCGCTGGTGCTGCTGGTGCTGAGGAAACTGGGCCCTGACGCACTCATCAATGACATCCTGGGTGAGCTGGTCAAACTGGGAACCAAGACAGAGATGGAGCAACAAGGAGGTTCCACTGCCTCCCAGTCTCTTACCTCCTCTCCGTTGTCCTCTTTGAACGGCTCCTTCGCCTCCTCTAACAACTCCTCTCTGGACTCCTGTCGGATGCTGTGTCCGTCCCAGCTTCTGGACGACAAAGACAACCTCAGACCAGTTGTTGTTGATGGAAGCAACTTAGCCATGAGGTGAGGAAGTAAAGGGTTTCTGCCTTCTACGTGGCCATATTTTACATTGTGAATGCACTAATGCTTGATGCTTAATGCCCCCCGTATAAAACCCCATCTTGTAAAATAGAATAGAATAGATCTTTCTAATATACATTTCTTTGGCAACTCTCACTGCAGTAAAAAATAGACACAATAAATAAATAAGAGTGGTAAAAGCAGAGGGAGTAGCGATCTCAGAGCAATGTGCATATTAACTTACAGTCTAAATATATATTAGTAAAAAAAAAGCAAAGGAACTATTAGCCACAGTAAATGATTAATATTGCTGATGTAGAGTATAAGTTGGTGGCGAAGTCCATAGGGACTTGGCTTGGCAACTGGAAGGTCACCAGTTCAAGTCCCGGAAAGACCAAGTGCTATCGAGGTGTCCCTGAGCAAGGCACCGTTCCCTACACTGCTCCCTGGTCGCCTTACATAATGGCAGCCCACTGCTCCTAACACTAGGATGGGTCAAATGCAGAGAAACCGTTTCGTTACATAGTACCTGTACTGTGTAATGACAATAAGTTGAATCTAATCTAAATCGAAAAGTTGGCAAAACTAGGTCATATTACATTTTCAATGCAGCAGTTTAAATGTTGGTAGTAGGACAAGTCTTTTGTTTGCATTCACATTACTGATTGTTCCCTAAACATGTCTTTCAGTCATGGAAATAAGGAGGTATTCTCCTGCCAAGGCATCCAGCTTGCTGTTGATTGGTTTTTGGAGCAAGGCCACAGAGACATAACTGTTTTTGTCCCTGCCTGGAGAAAAGAGCAGTCCCGTCCCGATGCTCTTATCACAGGTAACAATTGCTAACGTTTTTATTCGTTCAATGACCCAAACATGGAACATTCTTCAACTTCTTCCTGACCTTTTTTTCTGTTGAACTGAATTCTGTCTTTCTTTAGACCAAGACGTCTTACGGCGACTAGAGAAAGAGAAGATTCTGGTCTTCACTCCGTCTCGCCGTGTGCAGGGACGCAGAGTGGTTTGCTACGATGACCGCTTCATCGTCAAACTGGCCCACGAGTCCGCCGGCATCATTGTTTCCAATGACAACTACCGTGACTTGGCCAATGAAAAGCCAGAGTGGAAGAAATTCATTGATGAGCGTCTACTGATGTACTCCTTTGTAAATGACAAGTAAGAAACACATGCCTTAGGGATGTTCAGTTGGAGAATTTGTTAATTATTTTAGAACACGGAAAACAACTTATTTTCTGTCATTGCAAAAGATGTTAAAACCAAGCCGGTTTTCCTCTACCATTTGCATAGTGCATTTTTGCAGAAAAAATGTTTTGAGGACTTCCCTTTTGCTTATAAGACACTTTCATTTCCTCATTTATGTTCCTTTGATCTTTTGACTGTTCTTCATTATTACTTCACCGATCAAATCCCCTCTGTACAAAAGATACTCCATTTGTCAGTTTTATCTATTTATTTAATATATTGTTTCGGAATATGTTTGATTGCTGTTTAATCTATTAATGGTGTATTCAGGTTCATGCCACCAGATGACCCTTTGGGACGACATGGACCCAGTCTGGAGAACTTCCTGAGGAAAATACCTATTGTTCCTGAGCACAGGAAGCAGCCGTGTCCTTATGGTAAAAACATTAACTGTATTTTTTGTTGTGCCTTCTTACCCCCAGTTGTTTTGATTTTGTAAATACATGGAATTAACACAGATTAAATCGATGCGAAAGTTTTCCATTAACCAACATGCTATGATATATTTTCATTCCAATGCATTGATAAAGAATGTTTTTCTTTCTTTGTCCTTTAGGTAAGAAATGCACATATGGCCACAAGTGCAAGTTTTACCACCCTGAAAGAGGCAGCCAGCCCCAGCGTGCCGTGGCTGATGAGCTTCGTGCCAGTGCCAAAATGTCATCAGTAGCTTCTAGAGGCCTGCTGGAAGATGCCCTGACAGTGAAAAACCAAAGTTATGGTGTAGCAGTAGGAATGGCCGAGGCTGAGCCAAGTCAGAGCACCCCAAAGAAACAGCCGAACCCCAGCCTTCAGAGCTCCTTAACTGACCTCGTGGAGGACAGGTTTCGTATCCAGTCCAAAGTGGACGGGCGTCGGGGAAGCAGCAGTAGCAGCAGCAGCTGTAGCAGCAGCCTTATTGGGTATCCTGCTCCAGGCGGGCCGCCGTCATTAGGAAGCTTTGACCACTGGGAGCATCCTGGGGTTACTGGTGGAGGGAGGGCTTCTGGAGCCTCTGGACCAAGCCAGGCTGAAACCTACCACAGATGTGAGTCTCCAGAGCCTAGCTACAGCTCAATGGTAAAGAACTACTCCAGCCTCGGTCTGGTTGTGCCACAGAGTCCTGAACGCTTCTTCCCTGCTGATCTGAGAGGTGGATCGCTGCTGTCAGACTTTGGCAGTGAAGGAAGCTTAAACTCAGACTCTTTCTCCCCTGACCCCGTGTTAGACGATGGCCACAAGTGCCACCATCACCACCACCATCCTCACCACCATCATCACTGCTCTGGCCAGTTTTCCCACGCTGTAAGCCGTGTTCCTCCTGGATTCGGCCAGCATCCTCATGGCTATCCTGTTCCTCAAGCTCTGCGGAGAAAACATGATTATGGCCTCGAAGACCTGCCAGCTTCTGTTACCTCTCATGGATCTCCTCGTCCCTTCCAGTCCCCTTCAGCCTACATCCCACCCCACTTTCAACATCCATTTGGGAGCAGTTTCCAAGGGGAATTTCCAGCTCGGTCACCCCAAACGTCCACGGCTCACTCCCACGTTCAGAACTCCCCTCTTGGCCGCAATTTGATGGGCTCCGTTTGGCAGGATGGTGGGCTCCAGGACTCCCAAATGTACAAGGGGTCGCCACTTCAATCCCGAAGGAACCACTCTGTGATTAACCCACCACGACAGCATCAGATGAACTGGGACCCACATTACCAGCAGTCCCCTAAGCCTTGTTATGATCCGTATGCTTTCCAGAGCCCTCCAGAAGTCCATGAGAAGGCTTGGCACTCTCCTTGGGGCAGGCAAACCCATTCGTCACCGCATGGCCTTTCAGCATCAAGTCTTCCACCCCTTCACCAGTTATCCCTTCCACCCATTACTACCCACAAAAGCCACCTGCTGCCCTCAGTGCCTCAGCACCAGGAGCCTCCTGCCTTAGGTCGATACCAGGACCTCAGGGAGAGGGTGTTTGTTAACTTGTGCCGCATCTTCCCGCCAGATTTAGTGAGGATGGTAATGACCAGGAATTCTCATATGGTGGATGCTCAGGAGCTTGCAGCTGCGATTCTGATGGAGAAATCGCAGCACGGTTCTTGAATGAAGTTACAGTTTCATCTTAACTGAGATGTCTTCTGCAGGTTTATTACCTACGGTCATCTTAGTTATTTAAGTCAGGTTGGACTTACATAGACCAAAAGCACAAGATACAAAGCTCCTTAAGTTGGTAATGGACTGCTTATTTTATTGCAGGGAAGTCTTGTTAATTCTAAATGGTATTTTTTGTAAAGGGAGATCCCCAAATTGCCATATTTTTCGATAATATGTCTGCTATTTCAGCACTTAAGATCAGGTAAAGTCTGGGTTTAATTTGATTGTTTGAGCAAGGGAAATTGGGGTGCTTAGGGAGGCTTTAAATGTGTCATAAAGGGTGACAGTGTTGTCAATTTTAAATTAATTAATTTGTTATATTTTAAGTTATTTACATATTTTGAAATTATTATGTTTTTTTGCACTTTTTTGTTATTGCTGTGTTCTCGCAGCTTTTCTTTTCGGCAATCATATCAGGGTATAGCTCAAAGTCGTACTTTCCATCTGGGCGAAATACTTCTGTTTTCCAGTCACTGAGATCATGACAACTTGGGGTGTGTAAAGGAATCTACTAAATTGTAAAACTTAAATACACATTTTGAATATTTTCCTAGCGTATTTAATGCTCAGATTAGCTCAACAAACGGTGCAAGGGTTTCTCTGCATACTGACAGGTGGCCGATCTGTTGATTTGGAGATATTTGGTGGATTTTCCCCACAGGGAAGTGAAACTCAAGAGGCACCCACAAAAGAAGAGAGCAAAAACTCCACTAGAAAACCCCAAGCTGTTGTTCACTTTTGAAAAAGAGTTTATTTCCTCTGGTAGGATAGCCCTGTCAGCTGACTTCACGCTTTATCAGCTTTCAGTGCTGACTTCTTTTTTTGTTTGTAACACAACACAACTTCGGTTCTTTTCTATCTTTAAATCATGTCAAAGTTCAATATCATATGACTGTGGCAGTAGATCATGGTCACCATAAATGTTTAGGTGAGAGAAGAAGATTGTTGGTATTTTTATGATTTTAATTTAAAATACGTGTTAATTTATTACCTTTAATGTGTGTGAATGTCTGTCTTGCATGAAACACAGGGTCTCCTTTGTCAGTGGGGACACCAAAGGGAAGGCTAAGCCCCTCAAATAGGGTATAACTCCCTTGTGCCCCTCTGTTACATTCATATCTTTGCAGTAAAAGACAGGACAGGTGAAAGTTGGAAAACGGAAAAAAGTCAAATCTTTCCTCAGAGTATGACAACACTGGAAATACTTGTACTTAGATCGTAGTTTTTAGTTTAACTTTTTCTCAGAGGCTCTGGTTATCTCATTGGTTAAATTACAACTTAATGGTTGAGTAAATAAATACATGATAATAATAATAGTAATTTTTTTTTATTAATTTCTGACCATCAAGCAGCATGGTCATCAGAATACAATTATTAAGGCAGCAGTAAGCTAATATGAATTGTTGAAATGTGGCAGCCTAAATGGCTTTTTTCTATGTATTAATTGAATTATCACACTTAAACAAATCTCTATGTAATCTACATTTAAAAAAAAAAAAGAATCGGAAGAGATAATTAGTATAATTTATATAATAACAGATATTTGTATTACTACTATTTCATTACCATGTCAACCAATGGGATTATCTCAATTTCTGAAGAACTGTTTGGAGAACTAAACTAACTTTTGCCTGATTATCTTAATATCTAGTAGCCAGATGACACTTCTCTTTGTTGATACAAATTGTATCCTATAAACATTTTTAAGATCATAAGTTTTATAAAAGAATATATGAAAAAAATATATATTTCGAGTTGAATATTTTGAGTATTTGTGGCAAACTTTGTCACCTTTGGTACTTATTTATATGAGGGGGTTTTTTATTCCCTTTTTTCAATGGGCAAGAAATAGAAACTGATATTGTTTATTTAAACTGAAAGCATGATACAAGCATGGTACTGTGTAGCCCAAAAGCTACTGACCGTAGTTGAAAGGTGTTAAAAACAACAAATATGGTTAAAAGGGGATGTAGTCTTATTTCTCATGAGACAAATTGGAGCCTTGCTAGTGTCACACTCCACCACAGAACAGCATTTCTGAAACCTTTGGAGTGAGAGTTGAGAAATACAAAAATACGTGGCAATAGTGTTTGCCGTTAAAACAGAGGAGAATCAACACAGTCTCACAGCATTTTGTGTTATAGTAACGAAATTAATCTATTGATTCGTGGTCACCAACACGATTTTCGCATTTTTTTCGTGTCACACAGAACGATTTTAAAAGCAATGTAAATAATAACAAATTTGAAGGAAAAAGAGATTTAAAAAAATACAGATTTCAGTATTCTGACACAAAACGATTTTAGAAGCAATGTATTTATATTGGTAGTACGTTTCGTGTCTGCACCAAATAATAACAAATTAGAAGGAAACGTTTTTTGTTTTTTTTTAAAATACAGATTTCAGCATTCTGAGGCTCTGAGCCCAATTTCTTTTCCTCGCGGACGGCAACAAAACTCAAGACATTATACAATTTAAAATAAAAGGGTTAGGGTTAGGCTTAGGGTAAGATATTGAGTAAGAAAATGTTTTTATAAA